TAGTTAACAGCTCAATGTCCAGATGGAGATGGGTGACAAGTGGTGCCCCTCAGGGTCTATATTTGGACCAGTTTGGTCTTCATCAATGATATTGTGGGATCAAGTGCACCCTCAGCAAGTTTGCAGACAACACCAAGCTGAGAGATGCGGTTGACACTCCTGAAGGATGGGATGCCATCCAGATGGACCTGGACAAACTCAAGAAGTGGGCCCATGTGAACCTTACAAGGTTTAACAAGACCAAGTGCAACGTCCTCCACCTGGGTCAGGGCAACCCCCAGTGTCAATACAGGCTGTTGGATGAAGGGATTGAGAGCAGCCCTGCCTAGAAGGACTTGGAGGTGCTCGTGGATTAGAGACTGGACGTGACCCGGCAATGTGTGCTTGCAGCTCAGAGAGCCAATCCCATCAAAAGAAGGATGAAGAGAGAGGAGGTCAAGGGAGGTCAAGGGAGGGATTCTGCCCCTCTACTGTGCTCTCATGAGACCCCACCTGGAGTGTTGCATCCAGTTCTGGGACCCCCAACTTAAGAAGAACACAGAGCTGTTGGAATGGGTCCAGAGAAGAAGGTGATCAGAGGGCTGGAGCATCTCTCCTGTGAGGAAAGGCTGAGAGATTTCAGGTTGTTCCATCTGGAGAAGGCTCCAGGAAGACCTTATTGAAGCCTTTCAGTACTTAAAGGAGGCTTATAAGAAAGATGGGGACAGATTTTTTGGAAGGCCTGTTCCAATAGAACAAAGGGTAATGGTTTTAAACTAAAAGAGAGTAGATTTAGACTAGATAAAAGGAAGGAATTTTTTACAGTGAGGGCAGTGAGGCACTGGAAAAGATTGACCAGAGAGGTAGTGACTGTCCCATCCCTGGAAATATTCTGGGTCAGGCTGGATGGATCCCTGAGCAACCTGGTCTAGCTGAAGATGTCCCTGCTCACTGCAGGGGTGTTGGATAGATGACGTTTCAACGTCCCTTCCAACACAAACCATTCTATGATTTCAATTTAACTGCAAATGGAGAGACACTAGGGTAGGACAATAAGAAGTAAAACAAGGCCTAGAGCAAGATAGCTGATGAATAAATATTTCAAGAGAACAACAGATGGAAAGTTAATTGATAAATATCTGGGTTTATAGCTGTGATTAAAAAAAGGCAAAAAATTAAGAATGTACTCTGAAAACTTTAGGTTTTTAAAACCTATGGAATTATCAACAGTCCAACTGCAGACTTTTAAAAATAGGAGACTTTTATTTAAAAATGAGGATTATGAGGATTATTCAACCTTAGACTAATTAAATGCCAATGTACAAGTCTATGCTTCCACTTACTAACACTGTAGGTGTTAACATATAATTATCTAATGGAAAACTAGAGATGAATTAGGTGATCTAAAATCCCAATAATTCTGAATCATAGTACTCTGTTTCTTTGTGTGTACTGTGACTATATCGATGCACAGCCTTTGCCATGGTAGTTATTCTCTACGGCTCAATAATCAGGGATTTAATATTTAATAAGTAATATTATACCAATAACAACATACCTTGTATACTCTGATGTTTTAATAGTGGTAAGCATGCTAAACAAAGAAATAAAAGGTTTATGGAAAGGGTTTGTTTTCTCTTGTGTTTCTGTTGGTTTTTCTTTCTTATTTTTTTTTCCAGACCAGCTGAGCTAGTTGGCTAAGGAAAACAAGTTTTCAGTCACACAAGTCTTTCATTTCAAATTCTTTATTTCCCTACAAAATTAGATTTTTAATGTTGCTATCAGAGCAGACCTAAAGGAAGAGTGGCAAAGCTTTTATAAATGTGTATTTATGTATATAACTGTGTATATGTGTGTAAATGTAGATATATATTTGAGAAGGAAGGTGTTGAAACTCTGGATTAAACAGAATATGGTGGAACAAAGCTCTGTGGCTTTGTCCCATTTGGTACCAAAGCAGACACCAATCAGCTGCTAAGCAGATTCACAGTTTTGTGTACAAGTACACATGTGCTTCCTGGGTTTAGAAGAAACATAATACAGAGCCACTTTATTGAATCATATTTTAAGATCAAATGACACATCGAGGACCCACCAGGCGATTCTGGCAGTCAGAAATTGAAGCCCATCTCTCCCCATCAGCTGGGCTGCATGGAGGAATCCCTAAACAAGACAGCTATAAAATGGGTTTTTTGAGAACAAAATCATGTAAGCTCCCAAACACAAAGCAGGACCAGAATTTATGTGTATCTTTTCTGTGCTAAATGAGATTTCTATTTAAAAAGGGTAATCAAAGGGTAAGCCACCAAAGCGGCTAGACTTCATACACTGCTCAGCTATTCATTTGTTCTACACAGCCTTTCACATTTCCCTTCATCTCTTTTGGGAAACTGAACCTATTTTAAGAAGAAACCTCTCCAGTCAGTCAACCTCTCTATAATCAGAGAATCAGGCTCAGCAGAATGGTAAATCTGTACTCAGAACTCAGAGGTCAGCAATTAAGATTTCAAAATTTGTAGCTTCCAGATCATCCAAACCTCTGGTCAGGGAATCGTGAGTGTCCCCAAGGTCTCTTCATAAGCTACTCTCTACTGCTATGTCTTCACTTCCTGTATTTCTATACAAGAGTGTAGTACAAAATAACAATATCCACAGTGCAGCAAAACATTGTTCAAACCAGAGTTTTTTAAATCTTCATTTTCATTTTTTGGACATCTTATACAAAGCATCTGTGTCAAAGAAGTTCCATATCATCTGCTTCCATTAAAATCGCCAGTAATTGCATGATTTTTTTATAAACCTAACTTTCACAAATTTAGATGCTTGAAAGAAAGGTTTAATTGAATTTCTATCACTTTAAAAGTCAAGATGTAAAGTAGATGTTTCCACCCACCCTCCGAAGGCAGGGAAGGATCCGCTTACAGATTTCATTACTCCTGCACTCTTGAGGATATGCCCTAGAATCAGGTGTTCTAAACAGTCCTCAAATTCAGCCTCCATTTCTCAGCCCCGCTGTGCAACAAGACAAGCTGTACTGCCATCTGCAAGAAAATGTCCTCTAGCAGCCTGTGACAAACAGCTTTTTAATAGAAAATTTCCCCTAAAAAATAAATATGCTGCATATATAAATTCAAAAGTATACATAGACGTGGATAGAAAGGACAGAAAATCTCTAACCTTTGGTCTCAGAAAACCTATTGCATCTCATGAACACAGGGATATACTGGTTGTTGTAAATCCATCCTTCAGAGTTACTGTCTTCATTCACTGGTTTTGCACAAACTGTCATTAAATACTGAGCTGTCTATGTGACAGCTGTCTGTCTGACTACCTGAGCTGAGGGAGCTTTTAATGATTAAGCATCCTTTTGATAAAGTAGAGATACCATTTTAATTACTTCCCTTGTAATGGTCTCACCATTAATTCTTAGAAGGTAATGCACAGAAGTGTGTCTTGCCTCTGGTCCTTGCTTCATTTCCTACTTGTTCATCCTAAAAGCTTCTTTTGATTGAGTTAGAAAAAAATCAGGCAGGCAAACATGTACATATAGCTACACACAGTGCCACAGCACACTGCTTACATACAAGTGAGATAAAAATTACTGCTAAGATGAAAAGCACTTTTCATCTTAAGACGCCATTTCCTATCACATAAAACTTTCTAAAAATACGTTACTTTTGAGATATATGCAATTTCAATGCTAGCAATGCCAGCTAAAGTGGGAACTTAGAAGGAAATGTTAAGCTTAATCAGTTCAATCATTAAAGTTATGCAAATGGAGAAACACATTCCTTCCTTTTAAACATCGCTACATTTTAGTTGCAATCTTAAGATTCAAGAAGTGAGGATGGCATATAAATGTCAAAAACTTGACAGAATCATAGGGTGAAATCCAGTCCCAGCTGTGGTCAATAGCAGAGCTTCTCTGCATTTCAACAGGAACATGATTTTCTTACTATCTTCAGAGAGCAACTGAGAACTGACTCGAGTTTAAACGTGAAACTGTTGAGATTACTTGTCTGTTAGAGCAGACAGCAAATTTTCACTGCATACTACAGCTCACAAAGTTCTGAAGCAAGATGTACTAAGCCAAAAGAGTGATATTGTAAGACAGACTTGTACTGCACATATGATGTTATTGCTATTACATTTTACTTGCTGTCTTGCAGAACGAAACCAACACAAATGTGTTCCTTGTCACGAGACCAGGGTGGTGCAGCAGTGCCCTGCACCAGGCAAGGTTTACCTCTGAGGCTGGTGCTGTTCAGCAGCTGACATTACCTATCCATTTCAAATATATGAAGAATAAGTTTTATAAATAGTGACGAAACTGTTCAGGAAACTGTTCAGGATATGTGGTGTAAGACTACCCTCATAAAGCCAGCAGAGATATTCCCTGCCTAACCAGAGTACTTCTTTGAGTGATGGCCTGGGGAGTTACTTCCCTATGACATTCCATGCCTATACTTACTGAATCGAAACCATTTTTAATTAGAAATTATTTTCTTCATTAAAAGACAATCGGATAAGGAGGTTCACCACTTGATGAAATATATTCCTCTTGTCCTATTTTTCTTATTACAATAACATTTTTAGTTTGGCAATCACTGTTTGTACTTTGTATGTAAAAACCTACACAAACAAATAAACAAAACTAACCAAAAATCCCTCCTAATTCTAAACAGGAAAATTCTGAAGAACATATTTTTGAAATCATTGTTCAAAAATGCGACCTATGGCAGTGAAGTCATTTAGACTCACATTTCATACTGAGTCTATTGAATAAAAGAGAACTTTCTTATTAATATAGAATATTCGTTATTCTTATTATCAGACTTCTGTGAAGTTTGCAATTTAGTCAAGTAAATGAGATAAAAGATTTACTGTAAGAGCCAAATGTTTCCATGCCTACACAATCTGAATTACCTATTAGTTCACAAGTGGCCATGCTTACTCTTTTTATAAAATAACAAGAGACTTAGAATGCTCAGTTTTAAATGTAGATTCCTCTTCTCTCCTAGAATCTTGAGAAATATTTAGAAGATACAATTATGGCCAAGGTAGATGGGAACCAAAACCAACCAGAAAAACAAGGGGGAAAAAAAAAAAGGAACATATTTTTAATATGAGAGCAGGAGAAATTGCAATCTCCCATTCTTCTGAAGCTACGAAGGTGAGTTTTTATATTCAAATAATGTATAATATACTAAGGTGTAAAGAACTTGCATTTTTATTCCAGTCTGTTTTTCTCTTAAGTTCAGAATCATCAGCAAAGAAAATTGCTCTAATTGCAATGCTTTGCATACAAATAATGATTACAGCTTAGTGGAGTGTTAGGACATGACACCCCACAACTTATCAGATCAAACTGAGTGATGTCTCCACCATACCAATTTTTTAAATGTAGATAAAGCAAGTTAGGCTCTCTCAGAAAATCTAAGTACTTACGACCAAAAAAATACGGTGTCTAACTGCCAGGCACGTCATATTATCCCTGATTCAAAACTATGAAATAATCATAGCAAAAAGCAGTCTTAATGTAGGGTAGCATTAAAAAACAACAGCAGCAAAATCAATTTCAATTAGATCCCAAAAAATGAACATGTAGAGACCAAAAACCTTTCTCCAATATATTTATATAGTTTTTTCTTTACTTGGTTAGTTCTATGGAATTCATCAAAGGGATGCTGAGTGACTGAAAAGGTGCACATGAAAGCACTGAGATAGTGAATTACGTATGGATATATTTCTACAGTTCCAGATAGCTTTTTCCTAACATATTCTCTCACAGAGTTGAATACAAATATCTGGAGGACAGCACAGATCTCTAAGGCTGTACACTCAGAATGAAGTATCTCAAGATTCTAGTCATGACCAAATCAAAATTGTCCATAAGAAAACAAAATTGACCACTTCACATACTAGAAGTTGTAACTTTTAAACTTTCAGTTAGATTCTACTAACAATGGACATACATTGGATAGTAATTTTGGATATATTTTACAGATAAGTAGTATCATATTAGGAATTAGCTTAGTTCTAACCCATTACTTAAAGCCAAGTGCCATTTTTCTAAAACTAAATTACAGTGTATGTTTCCTGAGGAGCAGATCACAAATTTAGCTATTGGCAGATATTTCAATATGCATGCTTGTTTTGTTTCCTCTTAAGTTTAAATTTCTGGCTTTTAATACAAAAATTATATTCTATTGTTATATGCCAGTGATGACAGGATAATGGATTAGGTTAGGCACAGCCAGTCTATATAGGAGTGGGTGAGATGATGAGACAAGTAATCTCTTTCATCACTTTTGAATTTCTTATATGCTGTAAAGCAGTTTCTTCAGTCTTAGGTATTTCCTAGTTTGTAGACTACAGTTATTATTTACAGTGCTTTGTTCATATACCTTTATCTTCACTTATTAATAATTCCTGACAGTAATAAAAGACTCCAGGGTTTTAACACTTCAATAGCTTTAAACGAGATGCAGCTGAAAAGCACCTTAAGTCCTTTCCAATAGTCATACCTTTTTTTGACAAGCTCTGTTTGAGAAACACAGCTGCTACTTGGATGCTTATGATCCACTCATACTACCTGTGTAGCTCAAGGCAAGTAAGTCTGAAAAATTAACATTTTGGTATCTGTTCAACTGGTAGAAAACTCAGGTTTCCAGTAGCACTGTAGAGTGCATAGTGTGTTTTAAGGAAAGGTGGAAGTAAGTTTATGGAACTATTGCATTTTGCCATGGGTAATGGATTTTAAAAAAAACCCTCAAACCTGTAACATTCTCTCACCATCTGGTATATAAAGTGGTATTTCTTTCCTATAAATATGATGGTGTTGGAACCACATTGACCATATCTAGTCAATCATATCTCAGCCTTCAGCAGACACTGAGTTAAATCAGTATTCCTACAGTGTTTGTATGACATACTAACCCTAAAAGCAGTACTGTTGACAAGTACATCAGGTGTGCTCTAAGGAATGGTACTAAAACAAAAGGCAAATAAAACTGTGACATTTTGAGGACAAGAATAAATTTTACAATGAATAATTTTTAAAATATTACCTCATTGGTTTATGAATGCAGTTCAACCGACTTTTTCTTAACAGAAAAAGTAAATTTGCAGAAAATAATCAGGATTTTAATGATCCTTTGAACAGATGACATGGGAATCCTCCTCATTAAAGATCACAAGTGTTCTATTAATATGTCCATAGAACATGATGTAAATATGTCTATACAGCTCAACTATACAGCAAACTGAGACCCCCCAGTTCAGCAGAGGGAGGTTTTACAGAGGACTAGCAATCAATAGAAAACAAATGAAGGCAACATAATAATAGAAGAATGCTCTGAAAAACAGTAGCTGATACTACAAAATTGACCTTTTCGCTTGCACAGTAGACAGATAGTTTAAAATAAAAAGGTATAGGTAGGACAAGAAGTTGATGACAGATTTTATTTGAGTTTCCTATTCTTTTATAGTTTACTTTTCACACTGTGTTGCTAAATTTATAATTAATAACATCTTTTTGTTTAACCTCATACTTAAAAAACCTCTAATGATGGTGGTAAATGAGAGTCCTGTTTCTTTGTGAAACAACACAACCAAATAATACATATTACTTAAGAAGCTTTGGTGGGCTTCACATCAGAAGGTCCTGTCACAGGCATAGACAGTGTTACTGCAGTGCTATTTGTGGAGTAATTCCAAGGCTGGGCAGTGACTAGAATGTAACACGGAAACAGTTTTCTTGATTTCAATGTAATTGGTCCCAGGCTTAGAGTTAAACTCAAGCTTATGTACTTAATTTACCTAATTGCCTTGCTGTATGAGGTCTCTGTACTTAAATTGTTAACATATCATCCTGACAGGCTGTAAACTATAGCTTTATATCAGGAAATAAATGTTAAAGTATTGATGTACAGTCTGCCACTGTGGGACAGTGCATAATTTACAGATCCATTATGCAGCCACAAACACATAGATCCATATCATCCTGAGCAGCTGTATCCAAGCTGTCTAGATTTTAGCCAACGCTACCCATTTATTCTTAAATTGCTTGTGCTCATGTTGTTTTAACACACTAAGAAGACATGTTTGACAGAGCAGTCCCAAAAGTCATCTAACTGTACATCATATGTGCCTTCTGTACAGAAAGACAAAATTATCTTTCTGCTTGTAACCTTTTGTCCTCTCAGACAAGTAGAATTTTGTCTTGTACTTGTAATCGTAGTGCCCAAGTCGAACGCTGTTGTAATAATCTGGAAAACATTGCTATACTATTCACCCAGGCAGAGCTTTCAGTGCTCCCACAGAATCAGGGGTAAGGCCTCCCTGCCCTGAGCAAACAGCTCATGAACCTTGTGGCCAACACTACAGCTCTAGCACAACAAGCCCAAATAATGAGCCTGGGGCAGAGTGATCGGTTGAGCCCATTAACAGTCCCTTCAGTTGTCAGAGGTTTAGCCCTGTGCAGACAGAGACCGAAATACGGAAAGGGCATGGATTGTGTGGTTTCAGGAGCACGTCATTACATGTGGCTTCATCCCACGTTGTGCACAGCAGCAGCTAATGGAGTTTCCCTGTTTGACTCATCAGCAAGGTGGGCATTTTCAAGAGGTGAAGCCAAGTACAGTTCTGCTGTCAGTGTGCAAGTTGTGTCAGAGTGCTATGGAATGCAAAGATAACTTTTCCTCCAGGTTTTGCAGTATCAGATCTGTAATGTTACTTCTTGTACACTGCCAACACATTTTCATAGTGTCAAATACCTATCTGGCAGGTTGCATCTAAACACTGAAGGCATTTGTTTGGCAGAGACTCAGACTCTTCAGAAGGCATTTACTGTTTTCCTTCCTCTCCCTCTCTTTTCCACTTTCCCTTTCCTGTCTCCTTGGTTGGTTTGTAAGTGTTTGGCCTGCAGCACGTGCTACAGAACACTAACTGCTTTCTGGGACACTTGGTGAATTCAGCCCAACCAAGAATCTTTCATAGGGTTTGTTTAACCATTTTGCAATAGATGGTAGAAATGTAAAATTGTCTGTTGCTGTTTGATCAGCTTTGACCTGATCATTGTGTGTGTCTGTAATTGCACATCCCTGAGATGTTCCACGCAGAAATAACCTTCTTCTCCCTCCAGTGCCACTCCTACTCCTATTACAGGCTTTTAACAGAAAGTCTAAAATTCAAGAAGTGACCTAATCTCAGACAATGAACAAACAAAAAGGGTAACCTGGAAAAATCACTACTTGTCCTGAAGAAAATGAAAGTTTCATCTACTTTGAATTAAAACCTGAAAGTAAATTTAATCCTATAGGAAGACTTTTATGCTAGTTTGAATACAGTATAATTTCATTCTTTGTCAAGACCCTTTAATTCCAGGACTGCTAATAGTTTCCTTACAGTGGTTCTGTATCAGTCGTTTCCCAGCTTTTGACTTGAGGTTTTCTGTCTCCAGGAAACTTTGTTCACATGGCCAGGACCAATGCACAATCCAACCCAAGACTTGGTGTCCTCTACAGAGCTTAAACCACTGGCAGAATTATTGCAGAATTCAGTTTAAAGTTGAGTTCTTTCTCTGATAGCTTCCACATTTCCTATGTGAAAGCTCTTGATGTCCCTCAGACCTCACTACATAACAAAAAGGGCAAGTGCCTTCACTGCTCTTGGCCTGTACCCGCAATTGTGTGCCCAGCAGGACCAGGGCAGGGATCGTCCCCTTGTACCCGCCACTGGTGAGGCCACATCTCAAATGCTGTGTTCAGCTTTGGGCCCCTCGCTACAAGAAGGACATTGAGGTGCTGGAGCACGTCCAGAGGAGGATAACGAAGCTGGGGAAGGGTCTGTAGCACAAGTTGTGTGAGGAACAGGTGAGGGAGCTGGGGTTGTTTAGCCTGGAGAAAAGGAAGCTTAGAAGGGACCTTACCAGTCTCTGCAACTCCCTGACAGGAGGTTGAGCCTCTTCTCCCAGATAACAAGTGACAGGGCAAGAGGAAATGGCCTCAAGTCATGCCAGGGGATGTTTAGATTGGAGATTAGAAAAAATTTCTAGAGTGAAAGCGTGGTCAGGCATTGGAACAGGCTGCCCAGGGAAGTGATGGAGTCACCAATCCTGGAGGTATTTAAAAGACCTAATTAAAAGAGTAGATGTGGTGCTTAAGTACGTGGCTTAGTGGTGGACTCAGCAGTGCTAATGGTTGGACTTAATGATCTTCTGTTTCTGTGACTTTTCATTTTGTTAGCACAGGTCATGAAAACCTCAAGGTGACACTGTATTGCACACAAACTTCTACTGCACAGTCAGTTATCTGTCTTGGCTAGACCTTCGGGCTTTTCTCTGACATGAATAATTATTGAGAGTTTATTTACTAGAACAGTATTAGAACCTTTTGTAAGAGACTGCTTTCCAGTCACTCTATGAATCAGAGTAACATTACTGCAGTTAGTAAAATATGTAACTGCATTTCATAAGATTCTCAGAACCTCTCTCCCCAGTTTTGTAGAAAACTAAGATTTGTTCAGTGGTTTGGGGTTTTTTTCCCTTTGCACTTGCTATGCTTCTTTTCAAGATTGTAATAGGTCTTGGCAAGGAGTTTGGGAGCACCTTAAATACTATTCTTGCTCTGTCATAGAAAGGACAGCAATAGACTAAATCCACGTGTAATTTTCTTTTTTCAGGAGGATGAGGTATAAGAAAGTGAACGTAATTTCAATATGATTTCATCAGGGCAGGATTCACCCTTAAATGTTCTAGTCACTAATTTCTGCTTTGATGACATTATTATTATCTAAATGTAGGAGAAAGTGAGAGTTTTTATACAATGTGGGTGTTTTCACCTGCTGTATGTAAGAATAAAAAGCCCACAGCTTGAAACACATCAGAGTAGCAATGGTAATTAGGTATTGGCATATCATCCAAGAAAGGAGGAAAAAAAAAAGAGCTTGAAAAATGATACAGCTTAATAAAGATTTAGTATCCAAGAGTTACACAAAAAGTTCTCAAAGGGAAATGTAAATTGTGAATGAAGAACACTTGTGGTTCTTAGAAAGGATCATCAATAACAAACTTAGGAAATAGGAACAAATTATCCCATTTATATCTCTGTAAGGAATATGATCACACATCATATGTATGCAGGTCTTCAAGTAGCCCAATAGCTTTTCACAAATACCAATTGCCATATTACACATCACCTTCCCGTAGAAGTTACAACTGTTAATCTCACCTAACACATACATGCAGTGACAGCATCTACCAGAAAATTTGCACCCAACAGAAATAAGAGAATAATGTTTTCTGAATCCATCTAAGACCCTAAAACATTAATTGAAAGAAGTCCTTTACTGGTCTAATTTTTTTTCAAGCAGTCTTTCATATGTTTTATAGCCAGTGCTTCCAAAACATAATGTAATTGTGTTACTAATTATGATAAAAACCAGTAAAGCATCTCAGATAGACAAAATGCTGCAAAAATCTTACAAGACTGAGGCAACCACAGGCATTTACATGTTTGTTTTCTGACATGAACTGACAATTCACCTGAAAGAAAAATCAGGATACCCCATACTGGAATCCACATATTCACACAGAAATCTGGGAAGATCAAGACAAGATTTAGAACTACTTACTAGCTGAGACTGTCTTGTGGCTGTTAGATTCAACAGTGATCACTCACAGGGTCAGCTGGAGCTAACAGAACTTAGACCAGACACACCAGCAGGCAGCAGGGTTTTGTTTGTTCCTATTCGTAGGGCCAGCTGCTCTGAGCCACCTCACTCACAGCTACGTAGGTATTTTTGGAGCCTGGAATTTCTAGCCTGTTCATTTCTGTGTTCAAGTACAGCCTCCCAGACAAGCTTGCCCTACAATTCTAATTGGACACAGTAGAAAATGTTAAGATTTGAGCATTTGTTTCAAATTGGAAGGCATCCAAATTTTTGAAAGCTTCCTTAAAATGGAATTGCTTTTTTCTACCCAGATTGAAATGCTGGATGACATGTTAAAGAGAAATATTGAATTGGGCCTCATGAGCACAATTTTTTATTTATTAGATTTTCTTCCCCCTCATTTTTTGGCTTTTTCCCTTGTTCAACAAAAATGATTTCCAGATTAGGACATTATAGAAGCATATTTCATATATGGATAAAACTGCTCTCTGCTTCACTCTCCTTGATATTTCTCAGTAGGAAGATACAGGGAGTCAGCCAAGCAGGAGTTCACTTTCTGCAGCTGAATTACGTTACAACAACACAGATGGAACTTTAGATGTAAAGCCATATTTTTAGCCAAAGCGCAGTCGAAGCGATGTCATCTGATGTAGTTACAGACATATAGAAAGACACTTGCAGTAATACACATTTATCACTTTTGGTGAATGGCTGATACACAGTACCCTGTGTACCCTCTCTTTCAGGAGTGCAATAATTTAAAATCTACTTTTTTCCTTTAACAGGAAGGAATGGAGTATTCTATTCCCATATGTGGCCTCATACCTGTGCTTCTTTTGGTGAGCACTCTAACTATTCCTGCAGTTCCCTTTGTGAATACCTGTGCATGAAGACTGATCTTTCCATGGGCACTTGTGTAGTTGTCTCAAGGTGAAACATTTGGTCATTTGTGTCAGAGAAAGCAAATATCCATTGTAAGAATTGTGAAATCCCACCTCCAGAGCACAGGTGTGAATTTCCATACAGATACATCAGTGAGGGCCTGGACAAAACTTTCTGGAGGGATAAATCTACACCCTTTCAACAATTTGATCAAGAAATAGCTTGCAAATATATGTAAGGGCAGCAGTAGCCCCTTGTCAATGTAGATTACCTTTAAAAGATTAAAAAGCCATTGGAAGCATCTCTTCACCAAGTCCTTTCCCCCAAAGAACATTACTTTTACAGCTCTGTGAAGAGTAAAGAAAGATCTGAGATCTGTCAAATGTTGGAGGCTTTGGAGCCTCTTCTTGAAAAATGCTGAATTTTGTACTGCTTTGTATTTCTTGTAAACAAGATGCAGATCTTGGGAACAGGCTAGGGAAAATTATTCCTAGTAAAAAAGACAAAAAGAGAATAAGCCAAGGAGGGGGCATGGGAAGGAACAGGCTTCTTCCTGGAAAGCCTGTTGCTACTAGGAAGGAAAGAACTGCTTTTCCATAGAAAAGATGCCATGGAATGGCCAAAGGACTGCTGCTTTCACCTTAATGACAATAAGCAGCCATTACAAGCTAGTTGGTGTTTTCTGAGGCATTTAATATTTTTAAGGAGATGAAAATACTAATTTCTTTTGTCTGCAAAGTTTCATACTTCATAGTAAGAAGTATTCAAGAATATTTATAAACTGATAAAGCAGAGAAAGTCAGAAACAACTTTTTGAAGGCTGTTTTTCTTGCTTTCCTCCCCAGTGGGAAATAAGAAAAGGGCAGATAGCAGCCGCACAAGACTGGAGAGTGTGGGTGGATGGTCAGGGTGCAAAATGTTAGATAACCCAGCAGCTTAGTTGGCTCTGTAATGTATCCATGACTACACCTTGAGTCCTCCACAGAAGAAGTATTTAATTCATCTCAGAAAAGCAAATAAGTTGGTTATTGAATAAATGATAGAGCCCCACCTACTGTTGTTTTAGTGCATACATTTCTAGGTCCACATACCCACTTCATGCAAATGTCATTAGTGTACGGGCATTTCTTTTACAGGAGCCCTAATTATGGATTATAATCCCACAGTGTGTATGTTTTGCATCCACACAAAACTGCTTATCTTGCAATTAAAATCTAGAAATATACATGGATTTTTTTCCATCACTCTTGTGAGTCAGACTTTTCTGCTTAATATGAGCATACACACGTACAAAAAGCTTCCTAGGGAAAGATTAAATTTTTTCAGAAAGCCTGGAAAATCTTTTGCTCAGCAGTTGACAAAAATAAATACTCATTTCTCTGGCAACACTGGTGTTTTTATGGTCACAGAGGTCCCATCACCCGTTACCATCCTTACCATATTATCTGACATGATATTTTGCACCCAGACTCTCCCTGCTTATGTGTAAAGGAGAACAAAGTATCCTAGCAATGTGAACATCCCTTGAAGTGGCACAGGTTTTGTAGTCCAAATAGAAAAGTCTAAATGCAGCGTGCCTGGAAGATAAGGTATGCATTATTCTCATTTAGGTGAATTGAAGTGCACTACACTGGAGGTGAGTGAAGGTACCATCCAGACAATTAAATGTCTTGTCCCAACCAACACCTCTTCAATACCTTCGCTGCTCATAAAGAATGTGACACAGAAGTGAACTCCTGGCACACACAAGACTATTAAAAATGCCCTTTTAACTGCCTCCTTGTCATTTCCTGTGCTTTTACTTTAGTTTCATGTGAACTGAAATTCCCATTGCAAAGTGGGAGGCGTATTTTGAAAACACCAAAATCCATTCTTGTAACCTGTGGCAATTATAAATCAGCATCACATTTTCCAGGTAACATCTTGTCTTTCAAGTGTTCCCAGTTACTACAAGTTCTAGTTTAGTGCAATTTTAAAATAGAAGAACTGTGTCAAAACTACAAGGTAAAAAGACCTCGTGCAAGCAAAGTGAATTGAAATAGCTAATAAAATGTGACAGCTGGAGAAAAGGAGTGATTCATGTATCGTGTTGAGATTGGCAACAAGCTTCAAAAACCTGTTGTTTCCTGGCAGTAATTGTTCTTTTCTGTCAATTTAATAGGTAATAAGCCAAAAAAGTGGAAGGAAACCCTCCATATTATAAGTACACTTATTTTCACAATTTCATAGTAGTGTTTTTTGATGGTACTTTTAAACGAAGCTCTCCAAAATATGATTGTCAGTGTTGAAGCAAAGCTAAATAGAAATCAAGTTTTGATTTATTATTTGAGTTTTAACTTCTTCAAATGAATTATAGATATCTCTCTAGCCTGACCTTTTGCCCCTTATTTTTTCAGCTATAATACTTACTGGCAACAGCTGAGATGGTTTCACTTGCCCTCCCCTCCCCCCACACCAAATGACACTAAAGCATTTGAAACTGGTCAAGCAAAGGATGTGGTCATAAATATTGTTTGTTATTTAAGTTATGCAAAATATTTAATTACAGGATGCTAAAATTATTAATATTCTTATATTCATATTCTTATACATTTCAACACTTCGTATGTGGTGATGTTTTCAAAACAGGAGGGTTTATAAAATATAGTATAAAATATAGTAAAAATTGATAAAAATGAGAGAGAACATCTTATTCTTCATACTACAAAGCACTCTAACCTCAAATTTTTTTTTCTTTCATAAAAAGAAGCATATTTAAGATGAGACAAGTTGTTCCCTGAGTATTTGGAGCATATCCTTGAACAGCATGACATTATGCACAGACTAAAAGTCTACACATTTCTAAGTTCTTCTGTAGAAGTTTATTCTTTTTTTTAAGGATGAGCCACACAATGCATTTGAAGTTTGCTTGATACTAAGACAAGAGAGCATTAAACAGTCCATTTTTTCCTACTGGGACATCACTGCAAATATGTGGTAGCAAAAAATTCTTTTCTAAGGTCAAGTATCAAAATGCAATGCAAAAGAAACAGGAACATAAAATAGTTACAAACAATTCTGGCAAGTCATTATCAATATAATTTATTGTTGTCCATAACAATGGGAAGCCAGACCCTATAGTCTGTGGACTTTCTTTAGTACTGACTCAAAGACTTTATGACACATAGTTCTTATTAAATTGCTAAAATAACTTACTCTAGAGAAAATAAAAACACCACGTCTGATATTTGATGCAATAATTTGCTAAATAGTCGAAATTTTCTCTAGACTGCTGAATAAATCAATATTGAAACTTTTTTTCTAATTTCTAGATCTGCTTTTTTTTTCTGAACATACAGGCTGTAAATTTTACCTTCTTGCCTGGGTTTACTCTGTCTTGTTCTCTGCAAGGACAGGGCTCTCTGAGAGGGATTGTATGTAGAAGGTAGGAAATAAAGCATTGTCTGGAGTCAGGATGAACAGGAGATAGGCATGTCATAGACATAAGAAATAAAGAAATATGAGTAGATCTGCTACTAATTTTCCAGAATGCTCACCATTCTGTCCTTAGGAACATACCCAGACTGAATGCGCTTCAAACAGATATCGAAGCCTAGTGAGGCATAACTATTTTCTAAACTTCCATGTTGCTAAGTGTGCAATCCACAGAATCCTCATTGCCACTTAGGACCTTGTGAATATCAATTTTCATATCACATGGGAGTGTGAAAAATGAAATTTTCTCTAGGACAGATCAAATGACTGGGATTAAATTTGAAGGGCAGGACATTTGGAATAACTTTTGACTTTTCAGAGTTTGGCAGCTTTACACCATTTGAGAGTCTGGCCTAAGGTATATATTAATCTATTTAAAGTATTTCAAGCATTCTAGTAGTATCTTCTAATAGCAGCTTTAAAATTGTGTTGCAGGCCTAAAAGTATGTTAATTATATTTTTTTCCCTCATGTAACAGAATGAAAGAGGAAAGGAACATCTGAATTACTGTAACTGCAAACTCATATTCCAACCTTATGGATATCAAGAAGAAGGAAGCTTTCCAATGATACTTACATGGAATTCAACTTAAGTCACAGAAGAGTAGTTTTGACTATCACACATTCAGAACAGCCAAATAATTTATCACAGCAAAGTGTAAAGTGAAATTGATACTACAAATAAAAGGCACACAGATATGAGAGACATCTTTGTCTATACTTAGAATGAAATGTTTTTAGAAGGTAAATATAGCATATCTATACCAACCAGGTCCATTTCTTTCTCTCACATATAGTATTTTCTGAACCACAAAGATTTTGTTGCCAGCCTAAAGCAGAACTGTGTCATAAGAGAAAGGCAACTTTTAATGGTCAGTTTTATGCAATTTACTGGTGTATGAATTTTAAATAAAGCAAAGTGAGAAAATATCAGCATAGCTCAGTGCTACAGAGTGTGTGAACAGATTTGTGGCTGTACTTTTGACTGCATCATTATTTTCCAGGTATATCAGCAGCATCAGTGCAAGAGATTTCAGATTGACTTCACAAGCCTATGTATTTTCCAAGTCCGATAAGTAAGGTTGCAAGCTCCCAAGGAAAGCCCTTTGAACTCCTAACATGTTCTGGTCTCCTCTATCTTCTCATGTTGTTAGCACTTTAATCATGACCTAGCAAGATTATATAATAACAACTAGCAAAGCAGCTCCCTGTTTTTCTGTTTATAAAGCCTCTTGTAAAGATACCCATATCCTTTTAAGTTAGCTGCCTGTATGGATCAATACTGCTATAGAGGCACACAGGTCAGCAGAGCTGGAAAACCTCCCTGAAAGGCTCCATGAATTTTCAGCTGGCAGCCTGTGGTGAGCTCCTGCAGGAGCTGGCTAACCAGTTAAGGTCTGGCTGCTGAGTAGACATGCCCTGTGCCATTATAGACAGGACAGCAGTGCCAAGAACATTCACATGGTAAATGCAATAGTGGAACTTTATAAATAAACTAAAGGTGCTGTGATTCTGTGATCCTTATAAAGAGCCAGAAGTTTCCACATTCCAATAAAAATTAAAAGAAGCTGGGTAGCTAATGCTCCTCAAAATCCTATTTCTGAATTTTGTACAGAATGATTAAGCAGCTTAAAGATGTGAGAGCAACTTAAACTTTCAGGACAACTGGGAAAATTTCTACATAGTCTCACCTCTGTCAGCAGGGTTGTTGTGTGCCAATAAGAAGAAAAAAGTAAGGATGGCTTTGTATTGACTATTGTTACCACTTAACTAGAATCCCTTCCCTCTCCTTAAAAAAAAAATTCTGGACATAATTATGTCTACTGTTGTGTACTGCCTCTTTACTGAGCTCTCCTGGACTTTACCAAGGTACAGTTCAATTTGAGACCTAACTTCCTATCTAGCTCTGGATGATGGATTTTCCTTGACCTGATGTCATCTAGCTCGACCTGATATTTAATCGAATTACACAAATTAAAAGCCTAATGAGAATCACCACCTATTCACAATGCACATCCTTCTTTTGTCTTGTATCTCATGGTACCAAATAGTCCAAAGATATTGGATCCATGTGAACCCTCTAATTGTTCTTAGATCTATTTATCTACAGTTTTCATGAACAGAAACACTAAGCACATTGCTGAAAAGTGTTTGTCCATCAAGTCATTTCTCTCCACTAGACAGATTGGACCATGATAGGCCTGAAAAATAAGTGGCTGACTCAAGTGACTGGGTTATGGCTGAAATAAAATAGGCTTTCATGAAGCAGTCAGCTCGGCATATTTTCAGCAAGAACTGCTACAGATTTGCAAATTTGTAAGTAACTGAAAACATGGATCTTATACTGTCCTTTAATGAATGCAAACTTTTTTTTTAATAGCAACAGGCTTATTAACCTTGATGTTCTACTCTACGATTTACCAAATTATATGTAGTTTACCAGAGTTTAGTTTCATGTTCTCTGTGGAATATCATGTTTAAATTAGGTGAACTCCTACGATGGAACTGGATATACTCTATGGTTTAACCTTATATATATATATATATATATATAAATGTTCAGATTGCAAAATCTGATATGAAAATGCTATTATAGGTTCAGGATGATTATCAGTGTTCTTTCAAAGCATTAAAATGCTATTTCACTTGTGTTGTTTTTGAAAATTACGTATTTTCCATATTCTTCTTTTGCTGTATCTTTTGCAGCTTCCCAACTGTAACACTGCCTTGCCTCTCTTTGTGCTTAGCAATTTATTATTCTGTATTCTCCTTGATATCAGATGGGACTACTAATACAGTAGGCACTCATTCCTGACTGTAGCACAATTACGTGTTTAGGGAATCCAATATAAAAGGCAAAAAATTGAATAATCTAAGGATTTAGATTTTCATATTTTATGTTGAAAAAGTACAATTTAATCTTCTACTATTTTGGCTGAAGACACATAAATTATCTTTGATTATTTCCTCTACACAATTTTCCACAATAATTTCTCAGCAGTCACTGAAAAACAAATCATTTTAGCACCACTACAATATAGAAAAAAAAAACAATGAAAACCAAGAAATATAAAACTGTTCACACCATCAAAAAATCTCTAATGAAATGAAAACCTTTCAGTATATCTCAGAAAATAATTCTGTGCACAAATGCAAATGTCAGACCTCTGCCCAAAGAGATTTCCATTTGGTTTCCGTTTCCAAAATATAAATATTTTATCTTCCAAGAAAGAAACGTTAATGTTTTAGATAAAAAACTGTATAGTCATTGCAAGTGTCAATAAATACGCTGAAACACTGTCTTAGAAATACTCTTATTTAGTATAAGTTCTTCATTGAAAAAGGATATGGGGTTTTGTATTTGAAAATATTCAAAGTTGTTTCAACAGAAGGGTGTAAGAACACTTATCTTCATGATGCTGCAGTTCTGTAAGGAATAGAATGTATATGGAGAAGCCCAAGGTGTCAACCTTGATGGGTAAAAATACTATTTCTTTTTCCTTTTTTTATTTTCTGCAAAAATGTATAGCACTATCTGTACTAGTGCACATCATCTCAGTGAATTCTATTAAAAATGTTGGCTTTTCCTAATTCAACATTGCATTATTAATGTTTCTTTAATTTTAAGAAACAACAAGTTTGAAACAAGGTGATATCAGTGCTGTAATTCTGCATAATATTATGTAACTGAATCCTACTGAGGCAGACCTTGAAAAAGAAAAAAATGTCCAATTCTATTCAAGTAAATGTGAAATTTAGGAATTAAGATTGAATCAATTGATTTTAGTAGTTTAACAGAGTAATTAGTGAAGACTGAGCCAATAATACATCTTCATGAAATAAAAAATACCTTTAAAACCTTTTGTAGGGCATGGAAAGAATTTGAATTTTGTTTATTGTTTCTGTGTTTTGACCACAGGACATTCTAAAATGATTCCAAAAAATAACATGGCATTTTATGATTCTTCACTGTTCCTGCCAGTAGATGGGTTGCTCAGTATAGCTTATGTGCTTGTTCCTTACAGCAAATTCAGAAAAGGCATTCTGGGAGCCAAAGAGAAGCCAAGACCAAAGTAACTTAAGACTATTTTGTTAAGTTTCTGTTTTCTCACTTGGCAATTTTAATCCATGCTCTCTCAGTGTCACTTAAGCTGTGTGATATCAGGGGAGAAATCAACCAGATCACATAGAAAGCATTTTAAGGGAAGGAATAGGAGGGAGGAAACCCCTCTCTTTTTCGCTCATAAAGCTACCTCTTTAGGAGACACATAATATGAATGCTGTAAATTATGGTTCATAGTAGTTCTCTCCATTATTAGGAAAGAGAGGCAAAAATCAAAAGGAAGGGCATATGAGGCTCATTAAAAAAAAGCACAGAAAATGTGGTCCCCCTGACATGAGCCAAAGTGCCTGTGGGGGATGTAATTTGCATTTACTGTTGCATAATCAAAAAAGCCCCAGCAAACAAACACAAGGAAAACAAGTGCACAGTTGGCTTCTGCTTGTCATGTTCAGCCACTGGCTGCTTAATTACTGACCAGCAACAGCAACGTGTTTTTTCCTAACCTGAGAGCGCACAGACGTCACTGGCTGTGCCGTGGCATTTTGTGACACACACAGCCTGTCATTAGGGACAAGGTTCATTCTGTGTTCCCTACACCTTGCAGAGGCTTCTGGCAGCAGCCAGCAGGGAGGTTGCTGTGTGCAATGGACAATACAGGGAATATGCAAAGGTTTACAAACAGTTTAATACCTTTTCAGTCAAAATACCAAAAACTCGTCCCTGCACAAATGGCACAAACTGAATTTAGAGCAAGAAAATTTAACTCTGCCTGTATTCTCTCGTCCTGCTAGGAAAATGACAAGCTCTGCATTTGAAACACTGCTTGTGGAAAACAATTCATTATCTTCACAGAAATCCTGGTCAAGTACCTGTTCTAAGAGCTGTCCTGATCAAGGTGCAGACACTGGGAGAGAGAGATGCTCCAGAAAGGTAGCAACAAGTTTCAGCAACAAGAGGCAGTAAAAAGATGGGAAAAGTGCATGGAAGAATAATACAGGGATAAGGGAGAAGAGCTTATTTTCTTGCCTTGCAGGAGACCAGAATGGGAATTTAATCATCAGAAAAGAAAGGAATCTTAAACAAATAATTCCTCTAGCTGAAAAATATCATGTCATTTCACCCGTGTCAACTTCATCCTACAGATAGTAACCATTTCTTTATAGCAATACCATCAAGATTTGTGTATTTTCTGTTTATAAATATCCTTCTTTCCTTCTCCCAAAATAATGAATTTGCGAATGCAAATCAAGACCATTTTTTTGTATGTTTCAGGAACTATTTTTACTTTTTCAAAATAAGCTCTACTGAAGACAATAGAAACCAATAAATTGAATACATCCATTTTCGTGTAAGCACATTTTTTTTCAGAGTACTTTTTAAGCTGGAAAATCCAGAACACAGGATATAGAAGTATTTTAGTCCACAATCAATCCATCATGCTGGCCTACTTTTAGGCAAACGTGTTTTAAGGAAAAAGAAAAGAAGATGAAAGCAAGGTAAAAGCGACCGAGTGTAATAGCTTGTAGTGTGTGAATAGTCCAACCACTGAACTTGGTAGGCCCACACAGAAAATGAAAAGGGTGAGCTTGTAGGAAAATGTTTCATTTATATTCCTGATAACAAGTCACACTGGCTTACCATACATAGCTGCAGACTGCCCTTCCACTTTGAGCAATAAAATACAATGATCTTAGGAAAGGTGAATGGAAAATTCCTCTTCTGTAAATAGATTTCACAGGCAAAATCATATAAAAAGAGATAGATTTCCCATGAAGAGCAACATACTGCAGCTTTAACTAAGACTGTCTAGTTTCTGCAGGATCTCAGCAGTAGCACAATGAGAAAATCTCTATCAGCAATTTTTATTTGCTTTCCACCCCCTACCAGCTCTAATAACACCTGCTAAATTTATTTGCAGACTCTGCTATAGGAAATAAAAAAAAAAATGCTGCCTTGAATGATGACTTTTAAATGTCATCTGCAATGCAATATCCTTTGTGATAGAACAAAGTAAAATACCCTTTCAAGGAAATCACCATGTTAAAATTAGGGCAGTGGTCCCATTCTCCATGACAAGTGATATAAGAGTATCTCCTCACATCAGCCTGTGTTTGTGTTGTTCACAGGTATATTAATTCTTTTATGGATCTTCTCTAATTCCCCATGAGCCTCAGGGACCCATCCCATCTGTCTTGCTTTCCACCAGCATGTGGTTTCCTTCTGCAATAGTAGCACCTCTTAACTCATTTCCTCAGTTTATGAAAACCGTTCATATTGTTCAAAGGTAAAAGAAGGAGAAAAAACCCAACTCCTGCAAGTCCTGAGATACTGTATCTATGAAAGAGAGCAGAAAAAAAGCAAAGAGATAAGTTGCTGATAGACCTTCATGAATGTGAAGGGGATTCTCAGTCAATTTACATTCCTTGTCATCACTAAATTGTTCCCTGCCCTTACTCCTTGTTATACCACATCCTACCTGGAGGACTTTGTATCAGCAGCTTTCCAGAGGGATTACTTAGATCAGTGACAAAAAAAAACCCCAAGTATCAATGGAATTAAATTCACTGCTAGAGACAGATTTTTGGCAAGAGGTGAAGTTGGGCGACTGTTACTCATCACAATTAGAAGATCTAAAATTACCATATTAGTAATCATCCAACTGCTTATTTGTCACTCCATCCCTGAAATTACACATCTGACACACATGGTGCCATTTCAGGAAATGACATCAAAACCATGTAGGCCTTCTTATATAATTATGATGTTCTCAGTGGAGTGCAGCATCTGCCCCAGTAATTACTTGTGTGTCCTATATTCATAAGTCCCACCTTTCTATAAGCATACACTCAGCCTGGATTTACAAGAATTTATACCATCATTTAAAATGTTATATACACACAGTGATCTTCAATACCACAACACGGCAGTTAAAGGAGATTGCCTGAGAGTTTACGTGTTTTATTTACATTTACTTGCAAATTAATTCTGATTTTCTGCACTCCTGATAACGTTAGATGAGAGTAGAAAAGTAGGACAAATCCTTATGACAAGAAAAATACTAAGCTTGAGGGGAAAAATACAGACTTAGAGAAAACATGACAGGCCTTTGAATCAGCATCCTTCCACTATTGCTGCCATAAATTAAAAGTTGGGACAATTGCTTGTAAGGTAGCTTTGTTTCACTGCAGCTTTTTCAAGCATGAGCAACTAAGGTACTATAAACAGAAAATCTGTTTGGGGCTGATGGACTTGTGGTTCCTTCTGGCATGTGCTGAAATACATCCCAGAAAAGAAACTTCAGTTTCAGCATATCTGAATATTCTGGATCCAAGCCCACTGATAAATCCCTCTGTTTATAAGGCAGCTAAGGAGATTATGTCTTCCTTTTATATCTGCCAAGAAATACTGGTCTCATACACCAAGAACAATCCCATGCATGTCTGCACAGACACCCAAAGAATTTGATTAGCCTTTATATAAACACAGAAAAGCATTAGTAATCGTACACCAGCTGATACACCTCACACAGAGACACTCCATGAAATCATCTCCTCCATTTATGTAATAATTTACCCCAAATCAGAGAAATTTTAACATCTTAAACAACATATAGATGTGTTTTATGATGGAACAAAACAAAAGAAAGAGTTGGCACACAAGGGCTCAAAAGGATCAGTTGATACTCTTGACTCTTCGATAAACAGGAGTATGTGATCAACTGCAAATGCCTCTTAGAAACCAAAGTTCATTGCAGAACAAACAAGCAAACACACCATTCCCTCCACCATTTGTGTTTAATTGTGGATCTTTAAAATCCTGATGGAAAATTCCATTTAGCTTCTAAAATACATATAGATTATCCTTAATAGATATTTATTCAGGGTTTAAAAATAGTGCACTTACTTAGATGGAAAAGATTTTTTATCTCTCTGGAAAAGATGCAGTAGAAAGTTGAAAAAAAAAAAAAAAACCACAAAAAAACCCACACCCAAATCCAGGAAATATTTATAAAAATTATTGTAGCTGGTGAATGACTTTGGGTGTTTTGGATGAGTACTTAGTTTCTATAATAACTATACTCTAGGCAGGAAGGAGGATATGCAGTGTCAGCATTACATTGTTCTTTTGTTGCTTGGAAAGCCAAACCCCACACATTTCATATTATATTGAATTACAGTATAGTAATATCTATGCATTTATTTATATCCTCTCTAGCTAATTTGGTAACTCAACAGTCAGTATTTTGTACTGCTCTCCGAGTCTTTGTGATATGCTACTTCCATATGCTTTAAGACCATGCTGATTGAAACCTCATTAGGGACTAGATCCTGGATGAAGAGAACCCTGTCTATTCAGGGATGACAAACAAATCAGTAAGATTGCTTCCTTGAAAACCTCACAAAAACCTGGCTCAGTGACTGCAGAAACTCAGACTGCACAGTTCGTTGTAGAGCAAAATACTCTGGCTCCAGGAATACTGATAAAGAAAAATGAGCTACAAAGAGAGCCAAGTATTGGACCCCTTGTCATTTACATTGTTTAACTGTTGCTTTATCCCCCCCCTAGCCTTTTTGTGACAGCTAAAACTCTCCCCAAGACAAAAATCCTAGGCAAGCTTTCAGGGATACCTAAATATTTATGTGAGCATGTAAGCATGATGTGAAATCATCCTGGTCCAAGGCCTGCATCTGTAGTTGCAGACAGTCTGCTCCAGTGCTATGGATGTCAGTCAGTTTGCACAGTCTGCCTTGGAGCCAGGGCTCACTTTTCAACCATTTTTTATTTAACATTAATGATTAAAGTATGCTCCTGGAACACTTAAAAAACCTCAAAACAGACAGGAGGAATCAAAGCCCCAAATCCATTCCCTGATGATAGCAACCTAAATCACAGGAGATTCTGAAGTCAGTGTATCTCAGAGGTGTCCACATGCTTTGCATGCCATTTTTACTGGTGTGTATTAGTCTATTCTGAATCGAGCATCTTATTGGGCAAATATGTCCAAATTCATTGTGTTTCAAGACTGCTGACTCATTATTTCCTTTGTCTGTTAAACTGAACCTCAGTCTCATAATTACTTAAAATATTAAATACACCCAATTTGAAATAAAATATAACCTTGTAGCATTTCTGAAGCTAATAAATGTTTATCAGTCACAAAGGCTGCAGCTTTTCTGAAGGAATGCATTTGAGGCATCAACCCACATGACTGATCAAAGTTCAGTGAGGCTTTTCGTGTCTTTACATCTTCCTGTCTGTCTCTTCCCTTATCCTTTTTTTTTTTTCCCTTTTCTGGACACTGATCCACAGATGAAAGTGCTGAAGCTGAACAAAAACTTAGTTTTGGTAAGAAAAAAAATGACTCACTGAACTGCTTTGTTTGGGGCAAGAGAGGATTACAAGGGATTATGCTGTGCTGTTCTTTTCCCCCAAAACTGCATGGCCTGTGTTCCAGTATGAGCCCATTACAGAAATGGGAAGATTTGTGGCACATGATTTGATTTCAAATACTGTCAGCAAAACTGTTTTGGAGGAAAAGGGATTGGGAAGCAGAGGACTGAAGAAATGCTTCCTTCTGCCTTGCTTCCACCACGGCAGACATTATTTTGCTTTCTTACATCTTTAATATGAATAAAAACAAATAAACAAACTTTATTCCGTTCGTGAAGACAAACAAGTGCCTCTCAGCTGGATTTTATTCGTCCATCTGTCCATAATTATACAGCTACCAGCAATATTTATATATATGTATAGCTCTAGCTCACCAAAAGGCACAAAACAGAAC